TAATCAACAATTGATAATGAATGAAAATAGTTTAACAACATCAATGAATCTAACAAAAAATATTTTTTCAATACCAAAAGCTCTTTAAATTGTTATTCATGAATTTTTTTTTCGAATAGATCGGTTGTAATTTTTCTTGTCAATTTCTTTGTCTGTAAATAATATGGCATTTGGCATGATGCCCTAACTGTCAATGCCATGTTTGTTCTTTGTTTGTTAAATAAATATGTTTTACGGTTATATACATTAGATAAAGAAATTCATGTCGATCAACTTATTTTATATAGCTATCGATTAAAATTGGTTTATTCAAATGAATACCATTACAGTTTGAATGATGAGAGTACTACTAATTATTACAACATGTCCACAAGTAATAAACTCTTCCATGTTTGATCTTTAAATTGTTGTAACTTATACTACAGCAAGATACATGAAATTTCTATTGTAACTAAAATTTCAATTTCATTTAATTGAACTCTAACGGTTTTACAAGAATAGAAAGTCAAGTTCGAAAAGATCTTTTTCGTTAGAACTATTCACGAAAAAAAAGATGACATTTCTGAAGACTTTCTCACTCTGAACAAAATATTGTCATTGGTATTTGTATTTAAGACAACAGATCTCACCATAATGATTTTTTTTTGAAAGTTCTTTTCTTGAAACAGTTGTTACTAAAACGTTCCGGTAAGATACTCGGAGGCTTTTCTTTTAGACTCATGAAAAAACAGAATTTTTACAGCTTTCGGTAATAAAAGAAAGTAATCTACTAATGTAAAACTAAAGCTCAGCCTTCAATGATAGTACAAGTGACTCTTTAATTAAGTAATCATAGCTTTACTTGATTTTAATCTGACGTAATTGACTTACTAACAAAATTAAATAAACAAATTTCAAATTGAACTCCACACAGAATAGTAGTTCAGTATAAAGGTTATAATTTTCCGACCTAAGTACAAAACAAACAATGGATAGACTGGCTGATTGCTTCTAACTATTCAATTATAACTCTTCTTAGGTTCTTAATTTTTTTTTGTGTAGTATGCTTTATAGCAACGAATAAATCAGTTTCTTTCGTGACCTGAAAATGAGTACTTACAAATATCTGTTGAAGAACTGTGAAATAAGAATTAGACATACAAGCATATTATTCTGTTAGATTTCTTCTCGTTATGAACTTATGNATCTTTTAGCTGAAAATTTCAGGGCATTCTAGTTACAAGTAGACCTATCTGTAGGTAAGATTTCAGACCGAAATATCGTCATTCGATTTGTTAGTATATACCATGCTATAGGCTAAAATTCGAGGGGTGGACCATTTCCCCACTTCATAGAGAAACCGTTTCACTTCTAGAAGAAATGGTTTAACCTCAAATAGTTAAGCAGAAATTCTTTTTTCAACATCGAATTCCCCTTCAATACAAATCAATACTTCACCATATACCACAAGAAACGGTTAATTTTTAGCAGGAAATCCTTCATCCATATCTCCAGTTTTAAGGAGAAATCGAAATGAAGTGTAGAGAAACAGATAATTAATTTTGATACAATTCTCTATTTCTAAAGACAAATGGAATTTATTCAAACAGAAATCGATTATTTTATTTTCTCTCTTATATAGAATTTTCTAGCAGATATGGATTTTTTCCAGCAGATATGGTTTAAATAGCAGGAGAAATGCTTCATCTATTTCTCTGTTTATAAAGAGAAATGGATTTATTCACAGAGAAATCGATTATTTTATTTTCTCTCTTATATAGGATTTTCTAGCAGAAATGGATTTTTTCCAGCAGATATGGTTTAAATAGCAGGAGAAATGCTTCATCCATTTCTCTATTTATAAAGAGAAATGGATTTATTCAAAGAGAAGTCGATTATTTTATTTTGTCTCTTAGAGGCTTCCGGTGACGAAAGCAATCAAAATTCAGTTATTGAAGTGTCTACTAGCAGAAAAGCTTTGTTTCTTATGTATACGCATATATTAAAATGAAAACAGAACAAAAGTGGACTAATCATCAGGACTGTGAAGGAGAAAACATTTCCCTTTAAATTGAAGTATATGTACAATATCATATAATAGATTAGATTGATATATTTATTTTTTTTCTTTCTTTCCATTTCTGCTTGTTGAACCATTTCTCTCTGAAAGAAAAACCATTTACCTCTAAATTCAAGTATATGCAGAATATCGTATAATAGATTATATGTATATATATATATATTTTTTTTTTCTTTCTTTCCATTTCTCCTTGGTATGCATGGTTTTTTGGGGGNTACTGATGCCTGTATCTCTGATATATCTCTTATAGATTGATGAGGTTGCTTACGATAGTAATCCTGCTGGATACAAACGCAAATCCATTCAAAAATAACTCTTCTTACCCAATTTTCCAAGCTAAACACGAATCTGAACTCAATTCCTGTGATTTCTAAAGATATAATATCACTCTGAGAGTAGAGTCAGTGGTCACCGGATAGGGTCGCATACAGTATGTTCCATGCTAACTTAGCACGTCTGTATTTTCTCCTTGCAATTTAGTGATAAAAAACACAGTGAATACACCTTTTCGCTTTTTGAAGTACACATAACACTCGGATTTAAATCCGAGGTTTTCGCATTTATTTTTCCGTGGTCTAGGCTGATCCTGTGGCGGATTCTCTCTTAAGTTCCAAAAATAGTGGACGTTAAATTTTGCTTTCGTGCTTTTGCATGAATTGATTGTTACATGAAAGTATCCTTGCCTGGTATTATAGGTATCATTTATTTTCCATATTATTGTTCTGTACTTTCTTTTATCTCGTCATTGTATGTCTTTTCAAATGTTGTTTAGTTATCAGGGTTATATTATTTCGATAATACACAACAGAATTGATTTCGTCAAAGACATTGTGGTAATGGAAGTTTTTTTGTTGTACGAAAATTTTTTATCATTAATATGTTCGTTTTACTTGGCTATTGTATACAACAACTTCTTATCTGATCTTTATGAAAATAAGCTAAGTGAACAACTGAAACTAGAAAAACATATTAATATAACATTATAGAATTAAACGTATTTGCAAAATCAGAAACATCAATTGGCTTATAAACGCATGCAGATCAGAAGAAAAAGTAGCTTGTCGACAGCTCTGGGGAGCACGAATGTTTCAACTGTTATCTTGAATGTGGTTTTGTATCAATGTTTTTCGTTCACTTGAATGACCACACTCACATGAACATCCACAGGCATAGCCTCACGCACATCAACGCCCACACGTACCGATACCCGTTCATATCAACATCTAGCCGTATTTGCATTCACCGACACTCAAGCCTAGAGTTAGATCAAAACCACTTTTACTTTTACACGCCAGACCCGGACTCCCACTCCGTTCTTCTATTCATGCTGATGAGTTTAATTAATCCAATATGAAGAGAGCAGAGCATTTAAATCAAAATTTCAGAGAATGATTAACTTAACATAAACAGAGATAAAACAAAATTCGTTTTGCACGTAAGTGCCGACACGCTGGGATTACGCGCCGAAATACTGTATCGTGAAATAAGCATATCTATTGCTGAACACATCTCATCCAAGGGCAGTGTTAACGTCTGAATCTGATTCAACCAAGTTTCATTGCAAGCCGAATTCCAAATGGAACAGATTTGAAGAAATCTAACAAGATCCACATGTTCAAAATTTCCTACGACTGTCTTTCATAAAAGCATCGTATGTATGAAAAATGCATCTCTATTGCCTTCATCACCGATCCAACTACCGAGAAATAGACAGTTTCAATTTCTAGGTCAAACAGGTATGACGCTCACTTCTCGCCATTTCCAACACTTGGAAATGATGCGTAATCCCGATTCTTGTTCCTGGAATGGTTCCTGACTAGTAGTACATCGATCTATCCCGAGTAACGCAAACAGATCAGATCTCATAATTTCCGAATCGCGGATCCCCTAGCTTCCCTTACACAATTTCCTTCCCAAACACTCACAATTTGTACTCTTGTATCTTTTATTCCCGCAAACACCATTGCAGCAGTGAGTGAACAGTTCCCAATGAACAATGAGCATTGTAGATTATTTTCGTGATTAAAATGCTCCTCTTTGGAGTATAAGCTTTTCCTGGGCACATCTTATCATCATTGCTCAGAGTTTTCTGCGGTTTCTGAAGATTTTCAGGCAAGGGTCGTGCCAATTCCTGTATGTATATGATATTACTGGTGTGACTAAATCAATGTTTCCTTTTCGTGGCGTTAGTGTCTATGATACTCCTTCTAAGTTCATAGTTTTCTTTATCAGACCTCTGCGAAAAATTTATTGTATCCTGCTGGAAGTGCGTCAGCAAATCTTCCGGTACCGGCGGATTCTGTCAGAATCAAATTTGGCAATCTTTCAGCTTCGGCCGGATACGATAAGCTCCGAGGCGAGTTTGGTCGAATCTTTGTTTTGTTCCATTGAGTATCTCGCCGTTTTCTTTACTTTCCGACAGGATTTAGTTTGTTTTCTGTCGATTTTTGATTTCAGGATAATGTTGGAAAATAATCGCTTCCGATACGATAGCTTTCTAGCTCAGAATGCTGCTTCCGACTACCTCGTGTATTCGGGCCGGAATCAGAGGCCATAATTAACGTTCTGGACTATCTAGTTAAGTTTATTTATTACCAACTCGAAAGTTTCATAGATGAAGACAATATCAACAGTTTGGACGTTCGCAGAAGTAAGACGTTTACGATAAGAACATAGAAGCAGAAATTTATCTATAACTCGTTCGAATGAAACTAGCATCTTAGTATTTAATCTTATTTATTAAATACTACCTTTTGTCAATATTGAATTTGTTCTAGAAAGAAGCTTCTTTAACACATTTTTCAAATTATATAACAATTGTCTCGTAAGGATATTCGTTTCAACATATTTTTCAGATAGAATTCTTATTTTCTAAATGGAAATTACACTATGATTCAAATCATAACATTTTGATACCTATTCTAGTTTCACTTATCCTTAACTATTGTATCTTTACAAATTGTAATGTTTTGAAAAGATCAATCATAAGCGTACTTACGCCATTACTTTGAACGGATGCAGTTGACGTTGAATAACCGTACAAAGATATGTTGAAGGGTAGATTAATAGTTACATATGCATCATCAACATTAACTGTACCATCCCAGCCAGGGATAGTGACAGCACCTGTAAGTTGCACAGCAGGTGCACCACTACAAGCACCATATGAACAACTTGTATATGTTGAGGCACATACATAACCAATTGAACCACAGTTATAAAAATCAATCAAAAGATTGACACATGAGCCAGACGGTGTTCGAACATATCCAGTAGAACATGGAGCTGATGCTGAAAATCATGTGTATTTTAATTATATATTTTATTAAAAAGTCAAGTACTTGAGAAATATACTTACTTGTAGTGGTTGTCTCGCTAGTAGTTGTGACTGATGTTGTCGTTGTTGTTGTTGTGGTAGTTGTAGTTTTCGTGGTGGTGGTTGTAGTAGTTGTTGTTGTCGTTGTTGTCTTAGTAGTAGTTGTAGTTGTTGTAGTAGTTGTAGTTGTCGTTGTCGTGGTTGTAGTAGTTGTTGTTGTCGTTGTCGTTGTCGTGGTAGTTGTTGTTGTTGTCTTAGTAGTAGTTGTAGTTGTTGTAGTAGTTGTTGTTGTCGTTGTCGTGGTAGTAGTAGTCGTTGTTGTTGTTGTTGTTGTCGTGGTGGTGGTTGTAGTAGTTGTTGTTGTCGTTGTCGTGGTTGTAGTAGTTGTTGTTGTCGTTGTCGTGGTTGTAGTAGTTGTTGTTGTCGTTGTCGTGGTAGTGGTAGTTGTTGTTGTCGTAGTCGTAGTTGTGGTACTTGTTGTTGAAGTTGATGTGGTGCTTGTTGTTGAAGTTGATGTGGTGCTTGTTGTTGAAGTTGATGTGGTACTGGTAGTTGTCGTTGTTGTGGTAGTGGTTTCTCCTCCTATAATAGGTAAAGTACTACATAAAAGTGTACTCTATAAAAAGATTCAGCTAGTACGGAGTTGTAGAATTGTTTAAGGTTGTCATACATTAGAGTGTGAAATTTTTAGCTAAAAAGTTTTAAAGATTGTAGGGATAAGGGATCACACAGACAGATACAGTGGTTACGAGAATGTGAGAGACTCTGAAACATGAGCGAGACCAATCATTTTTTATTCCAGCCCCGCCGGGACCGAGACCATGTTGCCCATATCTAGTTTCTCGTCCACTTTTATTGATGTCATTTTCCATCTTCATGTTCTTAAATGAAAGATATAGTCTAGATAGACATTTCTAGCAAAACTGCATCAGAATCAGCATACAAATGGATGTCGTGTAGGAAAAAAATTGGTTGTATAAAGTTAGTTCGGATAATTGCGAGTAGGAAGAAATATTTTCGAGAGAATATTTTGATTGGAGGACTGTATTAAAATACAGACAATTTATGTCAATAATGTATTGGATGAAGATATACAATGTAAAGTACGAACGACGTATCTTATGGATCGTATTACTAACTGCCTTATAGAGTTAATGGAAGACATAAAAGATTGCATGGAATTGAGCACTTAGAGTGTACAGTCACACTTCCACTCGTTATTCGTTCTTCTAGAAGATATTCAACAATCAATTACTAGATAAATTGAGACATGATTAGTGATTGATCAGCCTAAAATATTGTTTTTCTGCTGAAGACTTTATATTTGACAATCAATCGTTCTTATGCCCATTGATCGTGTGAAATTTAAGAATCTCTCTATCTCATGATATTAGTAATAATAAATGTTTTATTTCATTTGAGTACTAATACAAATTTCTTATTTGCTGGATAGTAATCCATTGGTCACTTCAAGCGTAATGAAGCTATTTCCACAGAAATAAGTGATCTTTGTCAAAAAAATCCGATAGATTCTAACCTAGAATTTATCTTGTGCTTTATTTTGAAATGAAAAAAAAACAAATCTAGCACTAGAATGATCATAGTGTTGGGTTCTATGATCATTGAAAATATCAATGAACTCTGAGATGGCTAGTCGATCGGCTGATGACCTCTCATGAATATATGTACTCATAGATATTTTCTTGATAAATAAAACATAAAATCTCGGTAATGCCTGAAAATTGAAGATGAGTAATATGAAGATGAAGAGTAGGATCACGAGAATTGCTTCGACAGTCTCTCAAACTTATGCAATAGTACAAAGAAGAGTGTAGATATGGCTCTTCTCTCCATCCACGTGCATCAGCTAATATCTTGTAATATCTGGAAAATATCTGATAATAAGTGATGATCCGTGAACATTTCTTCTAAAAACTGATCTTTAACAATAAATGAAGTGAGATACAATAAGTTATAGTAATTATATTGAAGACTCATTGCAGATTTTGTGTAAATCTGAATTATTTTATAATACATTTCGGTCATGAATTCAAAGCAACTAAAAGAAGTAAAGGCACTAAAGGGACTACAGGTACCAAAATGTCTAAAATAGGGATGCAACGATGACGATAAACGGTCTAATCAGTAACCGTTCTGCCGGTAACCGGTGAAAAAATGATGGTACAGTAGTAATTCACCGTTACCGTTCATTCCTAGTCTAAAAGGTCTAAAAGGACTAACGGCAATAAAGGGACTAAGGGCATTAGAGAGACTAAAGTATCAAGATCATTGCAGCTAAGGTGACATAAAAGTGAAAAGGGATCAAAGTTTTTATTTGTGAACCCCTTCTATGCCCAACTCCATTCTAAAGTATATATATTTGGAAAATAGTTCCATGTCAGGCTTCAATGAAATTGACATTATTTATACTGTGAAAAAACGGAGTAAAGCTATCTTCATTTTTGGAATATTTTTCATATACCGCATCTTAGAAATTAATAAGTCCTAGATATCCATAAGTTTCAATGTTACATCGCGTGATAGTAAGAAAAATGGAGATAGAGCTAGGGCGCAGTAGAATTTGGCGTGTTTCAGTATATCCTGATGCTACTACGTTTTAAAAATAACACAACTAATTAATAAAATGAATGATTGTGGTTAGTCTTTTGTGAAACACGATCTGAAAGGAGTGTTGAAGTGTTTTAGGGGTAGAAATTTGGACCCCCCACAGACCGTGACAGACAGGGCTCTGGACCCATCACAGACCGTGACAGACAAGGCTTTCGACCCATCACAGACCATGACAGACATGTTATCGACCCGTCAAAGACCGTGACAGACACGACTCAGGGGTCATTATAGACTGTGATAGAGGACTTCAAGGAGATATCAGATATATTGCATAACTAACATATGATTGAAGGATATATGGCGTATTATCCTGTTACAAGTATATAATATAAGGTAAGCCATTATGAAATGTACATCAGTATGCATACAAAAACAACAGCTTTTAGAAAATCGGTTATATCAGCTACATCGTGTTTCACATTTTTAATCCCGCAAGGGATTGCGCTAACAGCTTTCATATTTAGAAGTACTCAATATACATTTCATTTACTTCATCTGGCCCCATGAAAATGAAACGGTGATTGTGACGCGTATATCCACAACGGAGAATTTAGAGCCTACATGTACAGAATAAGAATCATACACGGTCGTATCCGATCATATTTTTATGATTTTTGTAACTTAATAATATGTTCGTATGTCCTCATGACTGTGTACGAAGCAATAGGAACATATAAAGCAGAACTGCCAACTCTTCAGATCTCGAATAGGGTACAAAAAGTTTGAAACGGGCTACATGTCGAGTACAACTTTTTTCCCAATGGGGTACATCAATGATGGAACCGGTACCGGTTCGAATGTCAGACTGATCAGTAACTATTAGACCGCCCTGTCTGATCTTTTCAGACTAGTATCAGAACTAGTCATATAAAATTCAGACTGGTTCCATCTCCATATCAGATATGTGATACTGTGTCTTCTCATGTGCGAACATAAAATCGACATTCAAAATCTGTTTAATTCAATTTCAGCTGCTTTTTAAATATAATTTATTGAAATTGAAAATAATCCTAGGTGTCAAATTTTCGGTTTTCAAAATTCAAGAAAAATTACTGACAACAATTTTAATACGGCTTAAACTTTCAGTTATATGTTTAAAATTACTGAAATTTATAGAGTTCGCTAACGGTTGAGTTTCATTATTTCTATTTAATGAGCGGTAATTTGTAGAGTGCACTAAAATATACTAGTGCTTTTTTATTCTTAATTGATGGCAATTTATAGAGTTTGCCTGACATTATTGTTACTATGAATGCCATCAGCTGTTTTTTGATTTTGAACAAACCATATAATTATGATTATAAAATGGAATCAAACATTGAATGAAGACAACTGATTGGGGTGCAAAAGCATTTATACATAAATATAAAAAAGCTGTTAGCGCAATCCCTTGCGGGATTAAAAATGTGAAACACGATGGCTCTACTATTACTAATTGAATGGAAATCCTTTCGCTCAACTATGTTGCGGTACATTTGTAGCTAACCGTTTATCTGATGCTTTACAACTACAGTTTCTCTGTCACGACGTGTGATGGGTACCCGAATTCTCTGTCACGGTCTGTGATGGGTACCCGGATTCTCTGTCACGGTCTGTGACGGGTACCTGAATTCTCTGTCACGGTCTGTGATGGGTACCCGGGGTTCTCTGTCACGGTCTGTGATGGGTACCCGGGGTTCTCTGTCACGGTCTGTGATGGGTACCCGGGGTTCTCTGTCACGGTCTGTGATGGGTACCCGGGGTTCTCTGTCACGGTCTGTGATGGGTACCCGGGGTTCTCTGTCACGGTCTGTGATGGGTACCCGGGGTTCTCTGTCACGGTCTGTGATGGGTACCCGGGGTTCTCTGTCACGGTCTGTGACGGGTACCCAAATTCTCTGTCACGGTCTGTGACGGGTACCTGAATTCTCTGTCACGGTCTGTGATGGGTATGGATTACTTCATAGAGAAACCGTTCCACTTCTAGAAGAAATGGTTTAACCTCAAATAGTTAAGCAGAAATTCTTTTTTCAATATCGAATTCCCCTTCAATACAAATCAATATCTCACCATATACCACAAGAAACGGTTAATTTTTAGGAGGAAATCCTTCATCCATATCTCCAGTTTTAAGGAGAAATGGAAATGAAGTGCAGAGAAATGGATAATTCATTTTGATCCATTTCTCTATTTATAAAGAGAAATGGATTTCTTAAAAGAGAAGTCGATTATTTTATTTTGTCTCTTATATAGGATTTTCTAGCAGATATGGATTATTTCTAGCAGATATGGAGTATTTCTAGCAGATATGGTTATTTCTTAAGTAGAAATTGTCCATCCATATCTCCAGTTATAAGGAGAAATGGAAATAAAGTGTAGAGAAATGGAGTAAGCGAAATGAAATTCATTCAAAGATTAATCGAATATTTTATTTTGTCTTTTAGGGGCTTCCTGTGACGAAAGCAATCAAAATTCAGATATTGAAGTGTCTACTAGCAGAAAAGGTTTGTTTCTTATGTATACGCATATATTAAAATGAAAACAGAACAAAAGAGGACTAATCATCAGGACTCTGACAGAGAAAACATTTCCCTTTAAATTGAAGTATATGCACAATATCATATAATAGATTATATGTATATAAATATATTTTTTTCTTTCTTTCCATTTCTTCTTGTTATGCATGATTTTATGTGGGGTGAAGCATTTCTCCATAAACGGGAACAATTTCCCCAACGACTTCGTACTATTGTCCACTGCTGGGCTGACTACGACGACGTATAGCTTATGTAGTAATGTTGAGTTCGAATTAGTCTTAATTGATAAACGTCTTAGAATCCTCTACTGTGAGGACTTCGAGAAGATCTTGCATAAAGCTGATAAAAACTTGTCATATGCCAATCTTGTTATCATATTGTAACAAATGACTTATTAGCTTGACTTTCTTGACATAACAACGAATTTCAAATTGAAGATTCTTTTGCGCTGTACATTTGGTACACGTTCTTGAAACATCAATTTCTGAACTTATCTGGTTGATGTTTTGTTGGAGACTAGATTGG